GAATGAAAAGGCAATGGAATGGAAGAAAAAATTTGCAAACCATATATCTGATAAGGGGTTACTATACAAAATGCATAAGGAATTCAAACAGTTCAATAGCATGACCTGTATTCCTTCTGGAGCCTCTAGGAAAGAATCCATTTCCTTGGCTTCTTTAGCTTGCATATCTTGGTTCATGGTCCCTTCCTCTACCTTCATAGCCAGCAGTGCATCATCTTCAAATTTCTCTCTGATTTGAACACTGACTCTCTTGTTTCCCTATTACATATACAAAGATCTTTGTACCAGAGTAGTTCAGAATAATCTCACCAACCAATGATCATCTGATTATCAACCTTAATCTCCCCCTTTCATGTAATATAACATGTTCACAGGTTCCAGGGATTTGGATGTGGGAATCTTTGAGGAATCATTATTCTGTCTACCATACAAACAAAAGATTTTAACTTAATGTCAACTTGGCAGTAATTTTTTTTCAGTTTCACAGCTAATATGTCTAAGAGTTATTTTATGGCTTAAAAGGATGAGAAATCAGAGGAAAAAATCTCTCTATGTAACTATTCTATTTATTGTATGACTAAGACTTAGCAACATATGCTAAATATCTAAAAGCTCAATGTAACTATAGATTTTGATATTTAACTTAATATTTATCATTCCCATCTATTAAAAATAAAAAATTTTAAAACAAAAATACTCTTGAAAAATATAAATATAATCATAACCTTTCTGGCATTAAAATTCTATGACAGTATCATCATAGTATTATATGATGATCACCTATAAAGAAATAGGTGGGAATACAATGCTAGGATTATCTCTTGTTTACAATCATGTAAATAAACCCAATGTGAAGTCTGGAAATACAGGAAAGGTCAGAATGTCAGTCAAATAAAGGCATTAAAGGCCTAAAAGTTAAACCTACTCCTAACCCAAGCAAGTACACACATGTTAGTGGTGAAGGTGTCATATGGAGGCCTGCAAGTAAGGTGAGCTCAACCCCAAATTAAGTCAATATTGTGTCCAAGGCCTCCTAGAGCAAGCCTAGTGCAGACTCCTTTAAGCCATCTGGTTTCAAGACACATATCTTCTATAATTTAATAATATGTTATTGTAGATTAATTTGATTAAATCTTTAGATTAAATCTTCCAGTCTCACACTAGTGGTTTAGATTAAATCTTCCAGTCTCACACTAGTGGTTAACTTAAAAATATTTAGACATAAGATTGCGATAACAATTCCTAAATTATTTCTTAAGAAACATAATGTAAAATTGCTAAAATAGTGCAAATAAATAGGATTTATCCAAATCTTAGAAAGCACAAATAATATACTTTCCCCTAAACTTATTGATAATGTCAACCAAGCTAATATTAGGGAACCTTTCAAAACAATTCACAGGATATCTCATTTCAAATGTATACCCCTTTAGTATATTATGCTCTGACAACTGATACTCACAATGATGGACTTCAAGATTTCGAAAGATATCAAGTTCTTAATGATCATTAAAGAAATACTAAGTATGATCAGAGGAATTTTTCAACTGAACCTATTGAGAACTTGTTTTTGAAGATTGTATTGTATTTAAAAGCTGGCTATACAAGAGTTATACATTCATAAAGTCCCTTTGTCAGAATATTAAAGTATTTATACCACACCTTTTCCTTCCACATTGCTCTAACGTAAGTTCGCTTTAATGAAATTAATAGCAGGGCTCAAGTTTTTAAGCATTAAAATCTAATTAAACCCTTCCAATCTATGGAAAAAAGTTTTTTGGATGAAGTAAATTTTTTCTTCATGATAGTATTTTTTTTTTACCCTATCAAATTTAAAATTCAATAACAGAAGTTATCCAGTATTTTGTGTTAGACTATATTCTTTCTTGAATCTTTACTTTGCTCAAAGAAAGCTTAAAAAGACAGGAAAACATTTATAAAGAGCAATCATTACTGTATTTTACCAATAAAAAATAAAGTTCCATGAACATATCTGGATGCTGCTGCTGATGGTGGTGGTAAAAATGATGAGGATGATGGGGATAATAATGGCAAAAATTTGATTTAGTCTAAGATGCTTTTGCTCAGGAGGAAAAAAAACTCCCCAGAAAAAATGCCATTCAAATGTATTTATGAATCACCATCCTAATTGTAATTGTAGTAAATAATTTTATGATCCACTTTCTCTGAATGCAGTGATTAGCTCTCTAAAAGAGCCATTCACTCACTCCTACTGCTGACCAACTATTCAGCAATAGCTGGCACAGTGGCAAATGGTAGGGAAAATACGCCCTTCAGAAACATCTATACAACCACAAGTTTCTTCTACACACTGTCCTACATCCATACAATTCCCAAGGCTAGTGTTGTATAAGCCATATCAACTTCCGATACTAAAGGAAAGACTATACTGAGAAATATTTGCATCATCTGGTAACTCTGATAAGGAATATAAATGCTATTATCTGCAAGGTTCCAAGTAACATAAAGCCTATTTAAAGTGGTTTTAAAAGAAGAAAGCAAAAATATATAAATGAAAATATTAAAGAATATTAAATATTTGAGATATTGATGGCTAAAAACAGATCTTATATCATAGATACAACTATAGAAATTCTGATTTTTAATTTCTGATTTGCCACGTCAAAAAGAAAAAGATTTCAATTTTCCAGGCAAAAAATTCAACATCTTTCACAAATGCCAAAAGCTTAATCATAGGTTTTCTAAAATATTGATCAAATCACACCTTAATAGAGAAGGAAAGAACAGATATATATGCAACAAATTAGTTCATCAGTACAAATTTTATCAGAGTTTTGAAAATTTAGATAAAGCCTCCAATGTACAAAAACAATAAATGTGACATCATGACACCGAGGAGAAACATTTAACAATAATGTATCCAAAGAAACAAAGTCCAGCTACTTTTTTCATACAGTGAAATATGGTGAATAAGTTAGACAGACTTTCAGTCTCATCTGTGATATTTTTAGTGGTCAATTAAAGAGGATTAGAATGTCAACACATTTGGAGTTTTCCAAACAAAGGATCAAATAGTAAAGAAGACAGAAAGTAATATGATTAAACCTAACGTATGGAACTATTAGAATTCTAGAGGAAAATGTTGGAAACACTCTCCTAGACATCAGCCTAGGCAAAGAGTTTATGAAGAAGTCCCCAAAGGCAATCACAGCAGCACAAAAATAAATAAATGGGACATGATCAAACTACAAAGCTTCTGCACAGCCAAAGAAATAGTCATGAAAGTAAACAGACAACCTACAGAATGGGAGAAAATTTTTGCATCCTACGCAAAAAGGGACTGATAACTAGAATATACTTAGAACTCACGAAAATCAGGAAGAAAAAAATCAAATAACCCTATTAAAAAGTGGGCAAAGGACTTGAACAGAAACTTTTCTAAAGAAGACAGAAGAATGGCCAACAAACATATGAAAAAATGCTCAACATCTCTAATCATGAGGGAAATGCAAATCAAAACCACAATGAGATATCACTTAACTCCAGTGAGAATGGCCTTTATCAAAAAGTCCCTAAACAATAAATGCTGGCATGGATGCGGAGAGAGAGGAACACTCCTACACTGCTGGTGGGACTGCAAACTAGTTCAACCTCTGTGGAAAGCAATATGGAGATACCTTAAAGCAATACAAGTGGATCTACCATTTGATCCAGCAATCCCATTACTGGGCATCTACCCAAAAGATCCAATGACACTCTACAAAAAAGACACCTGCACTCGAATGTTTATAGCAGCACAATTCATAATCGCAAGGCTGTGGAAACAGCCCAAGTGCCCATCAATCCAAGAATGGATTAATAAAATGTGGTATATGTATACCATGGAGTACTATTCAGCTCTAAGAAACAACGGTGATATAGCACATCTTATATTCTCCTGGTTAGAGCTGGAACCCATACTACTAAGTGAAGTATCCCAAGAATGGAAAAACAAGCACCAGATGTATTCTCCAGCAAACTGGTATTAACTGAGCAGCACCTAAGTGGACACATAGGTACTACAGTAATAGGGTATTGGGCAGGTGGGAGGGGGGCGGGTATATACATATATAATTAGTGAGATGTGCACTATCTGGGGGATGGTCATGCTGGAGACTCAGACTTTTGGGCGTGGGGGGAATAGGCATTTATTGAAACGTTAAAATCTGTACCCCCATAATATGCCGAAATAAAAAAAAATAAAAAATAAAAAAAATGCTCTGTTAAAAAAAAAAGAAGAAAGAAAGTAATATGAAAAGGAAATCATCTACCATGTCTTAAGAGCCAAACAATAAAACAATTTCATGTTACCTCAAGGTCATTTGTTAAAAAAGAATCCCTTAATCAACCTTTCTTTTTCATGTTAAGTAAATAAGGTGAAAGTATTATAAAACTTGACAGTGTATGTTCCTTTGTTAATTTATTCAATTAACTTACATCTGTAGAGGGTTCATGGAAAATTTGTCACTCACAAAAAAATTCCAAGAGAAAAGAAAAATACTTTTTGACCTCAAGGCATTTGCTAGTCAATGCCAGAAAAAGAGCAAATTCAATACATTACAGGCAATCTATCATGAGGAATTTAACACTTCCATTAGTTCATATCACCTTAAACGTTAGTGGTTTCCTGCAAAGCACTGAGACATTTTGAGCAGTAAGAAGTAAACTAAATGTAGGAAAACAAAAGAAGAGATGAACCCAAGAATACTGATTTAAAAACAAAAACAACAGGGAAAGTAATTCAAAGCACAGAAGCACAAGCTTGAGGCAGAGAAATCTATGGAAAGAACTATGCTGTAGCAATCAGCCACCAGAGGTAGAGACAAGGCAGCAGATAAGAGCTGTAGACAGCTGCAAAACAAAAACCAGCTAAAGACTCTTTGAGCCACAGGCTAAGGGACAACAAAAGACATTATCCAAAGTGAACTGTTCACTAAAATCAATGACATCTTATTTCATGAACAGGAGAGATTACTTACCCGATTTATATTGTTGTTCCCTAAAATAACCTGAAGCAGAGTTTTCTCAAATTCTTCCAACTTCTTGGAACACTTTTTAAGAATATGATTAGATAAGTTATAATCACTGATCAGTCTAGCTAAAGTATCAATAGCTTCTGTCCAAAAGCTTGAAAAAGGAAGTTTAGGGTTACGGTAAAAAGTGATCAGGCCATCAAGCAACTGAAAAACAGAATCAGAGACTATGGAAAAGTCTTTTTCAAAATAAGTTAACTCCGTTTTCAAACTACCTGATTCTGTCAAGTTCTTCAGTTCAAGGAGATGTTGCAAAAATTGCATGTGAGAAGATAAAGGATTTTCCAGGGTAGCACAGGTTCTTTTTATGAGAGGCAATGGTGGAAAGGGCATGGGGGTACAGCTCTCCACTAAATGCTGGGGAAGCTCTAAAGACTCAGTTGTCTGCTCATTTGATAAAACACACCCAGAATCTTCCATTGGAGTTAATGTATTTTCAAAACTTCCAGGTTCCTGAGCCTGCAACTGGGAAGACAGGTTTCCTGAAACAGAAAGGAATACAAGGGTTATCTTCCTACAGCTAAAATTTCTTCATATAAAATCTAGACATTGATTTTTCTAAGTTAAAATACTACATGAAGCATATAAATACATATTAAACATTTAACAAGCGGTAGTACGTAGTAAAGGAAAAACTGTGAAAGAAATTGCTTAGGCCAACTGTAAAAAAAGATCTTTATCTTCATAGGTATAAAGCAAAGGTGATTCATCCATGTATTTTTAGGTCACTGTCTCTCATTCAACTGTGTGTCATGCTTGAAAGATTTGGAGGGGAAAACCACAAGACCAGAAGGAGGTCGCAATCTGTTAAAGATTCCAGTAGGTAACTACAGAGTAATAAGGCACACTCAGAGACAGAGATATGGTTAGGGCACTATGAAAATAGGAGGAACAATGAACAGCCCAGCCAGGTTATATTAGTACATCCTAGAAGAGGTGATGATGGAACTACTTATAAAGTAGGAGTTCAAAGTTAAAGTTAGAAGAATGGAAAAAGGCAAGAATATCCCATACATCTAAGGGATAAGTGCAAAGGCACAGATGTAACAAGAAAAATAATAGCATTGTATATGTGGTACCCCACAAGTATTAGTGTGATGCTGCTTTCACAGAAAGTATAAGGAAAGAGATTAAGACAGGGAAATACGTAGAGGCCAGTTCATAAAAGATCTTATAAGACATATTAAGAACCTTAGAATTTAACCTGTAGAGTGTGTAGTATATTTCCAACTTGAATAATGCAAGACACCTTTGGAAAAATTATACACACACACACACACACAATACCTGATACACAAATATATAGATAGATAGATCATATCTATATCTGTCCATTTATATAGGCATATACGAATATATGTGTGTATATGTGTTTATCTATCTCTCTTTATATCATATAGATCCCAGAAACTGTCTATAACCTCTAGAATCTTCCAATATTGTCTGAGAAATACTGCATTTCAAGCTAAACCTAGTAACTTTAGGTAATTTTTTTGATAGACATGCCATTATAAACACATAGTGGTGGTTTTTTTTAAATGATTATCAGTAAAGTGCACAAACCAAATTGAAAAATTCTCATTGAGCATTCTAAAACACATACATATATCTATGAAATCAAGTATGAGAAATATTGCTGTCAGCAATGGGAGCCTTTTCTTATTTATTCTGCAGTTCCTACCTTACCTATAAAACGAAACCTGCAGAACCAACTGTCTAAAGGTTATCTTTTACTGTACTCCATATATATATACTGTATATATATACATATATATACTGTACTCCATATATATATATACTGTACTCCATATATATATATATATATATGAATAGAGGGAGAGGGAGATATTTATTAAAAAAATTGACTCAAACAACTGGCTCAAGCAATTATGGAGGCTGAGAAGTCCCAAGATCTGTAGTCAGCAAGCCGGAGACCAGGAAAGCCTAAGTTTCAGTCTAAAAACCAGCAGGCTCAAGACCAAAGAAGAGCTCATGTTTCAGTTTGAGTGTTAAAGCAGAAAAAAAAAAAATAAGTAACATGCCCTAGCTCAAGGCATTCAGGCAAGAGGAGTTCCCCCTTATATGAGGAAGGGTTAGCCTTTTTGTTCTGCTCAAGCCTTCAACTGATTAGACGGTGTCAACGCACATTAAGGAGGACAATCTGCTTTACTCAGTCTACAGATTCAAATAATATCATACAAAAATACATTCACACAAAAAATGATGTTTGACCAAATATCTGGGCAATCCATAGCACTGTCAAGGTGACACATAAAATGAGTCATCACAATACATGCAACTGAATCTGTCCTTCCCTAGTTCCTTCTATCACTTTAGTTCACACCATTATCATCTCTTGAACTGATTAACTCAATACCCTCACCTAGATGACCTATCTGCCTCTGGTTCTCTTCTCCTCTAGGCCATTCTGGACTGGGCTAAGAGTCACCTTGCTAAAATAATATGTTGATCACAGTAATTCTGTCCTTAAAATCTTCCAGAGGCTTCCCTTATCTTACAGGATAGAGTCCTTCAAGTCCTTCAAGTCCTCCAAGTTTGTCCCATGAAGCCTTTCCTTTATGGCCCCTACCTACTTCTCCAGCCTTACCTCTACCTTCACCCTTATTTACATGCAAACAACATTAAACTATTTACAGTTCACCAAAACATGCTACATAAGTCATACAATGGTGCATTTGCAAAAGTTGTTCCCCTCCTGGTGTGTTCTCATGCTATAACCCAGGGATGTACTAGTTCTTCAAACCATGCTTCAAATCCTCTGTGAAAACTAACTTACTCTTCCCAGGCTGAGAAAATCACTCCCTGTTTGGGCTATCTTGTACCTTACTTACATATACTTCTACCACTATACTCATTAACTTGTTTTGAATATATTAGTGACACCCTATTGGAAAAGAGAAAGAAGAGATTCTTGAGGGCAGACACAGAGTTTAAATCGTGGGTATTTCTGCTGCTTGATGACTGCCCTTCTGTAGAGTTGGTGGTCTGAATATTTGTTGAAAAAAAGAAACACACACACACACACATATATATTATATATATATATATATAAATATAATATTGCATATAGTCAAAACAAAAGGTGAAATCAAATGGCATTTCTTCAAGACATATCATCAGTCATATATAGTTTGTCACTACCAACTATGATTTCCTAACATTAACAATAATCATCCACATGTACTGATACATTAAACAACTTAAAAGTAATGTTTACGCCACCTGGTGGTCACACAGGAAATGCTATTTTTAAATAATTCATCTGTTGACATGACAGTGTTTCACTGTAAAGCAACTGACTTCTCTGTCTCTAGGAGGATATAATTTACCATATTGCAAAGTATGTTTGAGAATTGCTGACAAAGAAAAGGCTTTAATTGCATTAATCCTATTCTAGCAATCTGCATCACTATTCTAACTTTGAATATACCAAAGGAAACAATATTGAATGTATGAAATTGTAAGTTAATGGAATGATGTGTCTCAGCTGAATTGTCTTCACCACAGTAGCTTCACGAACAAAACAGCATATATTGGGGTAAGCCCAGTTCTACACTATTCAACAATAGAACTCCTCCTGCCTTCAGGTGCTCAAACTCTGGACTTTACTGGTTGTTGCTTTCACTCCCAAGCCATCCTCTAGCTCCCCAGTGCAAATTTTCCTCGTTGTGCCTTTGGTTTTCTCCCACTGGTTCCAGCTTCCTGCATCTTCTCAATTTTCCCACCCTCTCAAATAATTCCATTAGGCAGATGGACTCTCCACAATCCGTATCTCCAATCCCGATCCCTATTTCAAGCTCAAGTCACTACGTTTCTTTGCTTGTTTCTATCTCAACATGACTTGACCTCTGCACCTGAAACCTCATTTGTCCAAAATAAAATCATCTTCACTTATATTCAGTACAATTTCCTAACCAAAATGCTACTATAGTCTCTAGTCTCCAATGTTTGAAACCTGACAGTCAACTATGACTTCTTCCTTGACCCCCATATATATTCCACTTCCACTGACAATCATATTGATCCCACCTCACACTTCTATTCCTTGAAATCACTAAGTGTGTTCCCATTTTAGGACCTTTGCATTAAACCTTCCCTCTGCCTGGGATGCTTTCTCCACCCCAACCTCAAATGTTCTCAAGGCTGCTTCTTCCTTATCATTTAAGTGTCTCTTTAAATGTCACTTTTTCAGAGAGGTCTTCCTGACCACCTAGTATAAGGAATCCACCAGATAAATCTCTATCAAATCATCCTGTCTTAATTATCTAACACAGGGAAGAAAAAAATGTCAGACCAGAAGCAGCCTGTCAGCACGCAGCTCCAAAGAAAAGTGAAAAATTGCAGGCAGCTGCCTACGTACAGATAGCTCTTCCCTGAAGAAACATTGCGAAATCACAGAGAGGCAACGTGGGACACTCAGTGTGGGGAAAAAATGTGATGGAGCTATACATTTCACAAAATCAAAGTACATGTGAGGAAGAATAGATGGATAGAGTGCTGGGCCAGCTTGTTCACCCTGCTGGCACTGTGTACGTTGTGAGATGGCTCCCTCCCCTGCCACAGACTTCTACCTGGTTAGATAGGAGACCTGCCCTGAGTCTGTGTGGAGTCATTGCACCAGCCAACAGGTGCAGTGGGGGATCTGGTGGCAGCTAAAACCATCTTGAGCTCTCTGGTACAGGGCACCAAGTCGGCACCAGGCCATGGAGGAAGCAGACTAACTGGAGGCATCCCCTGAGCTGTACCCTGTGACTGGAAGCCAAGTGCCCCTCCCCTGTAGTGCAAAGGGATCTGTACAGAATATTAAGGCCTGCTTGGCGTCAGATAAATTTATAAGGCTAAAGGTATGCACTCATTTCCTGGAGAAGTTGGCCACTTCTTGAGGAAATGGGAATTGATAGCTCTGAGCTATGTGCCTTGGGATGTTTATCCTAGACTTCCTGGACTGCCTAGGATTGTTTATCCCCAGCTGTCCAGGAATGTTTACCTTAGGCTCATGCCCCGAACTGCTATGTGAGACCAGTCACTACAGGCCCCAGTTCCTGGCCAGATCCCGGACCTCACGTGACCAGAGCATACACCTCTTTGGTGCCAAAGCCTTCCCTAGTTCAAACCACTATATAAACAGTATAAGAAAGTCCCGGAGCCGCTTCTCTGTCTAACATCTCCGTGCACAACTGCCTGCCTGGTTGATAATCCAGCATGTTGTTGCTTTCACCGCTGCCTTAAACTTCCCCCTGATGGCTAACTCCGGTGCTGGTGCTGTAACTTCCCCGTGATGGTTAATTCCGGTGCTGATAATGGGATCCTAGTGGTATGATTATTCCTTTATGTTCTTTTCCTGCTATCCTATGTAAATAGGTCTCCTTTATTTTCTCTTTTTCTCTTCCCCCCTAATAAATGTAAGTAAAACTGGTGTGGCTTGTGGTGGTGTGTCCTGTGGATCGAGCTTAAATCAGAA